TACTGCATGATGAGTTTGTCTATAAAAGAAGAGTGTCAGCTTGCAGTAGATAAAGACGTGAATCCATGCTAGCATTGTCAATCGTCTTATCCGAATCTAAATCGTGAAATTCACACAGTTTAGAGTTAAATGTAGCCACACAATTCAAGTACTGTGATAGTTTACTTATTGACAGGAGATTGCAATCCAAATTTGAAACATATAACATAAAGTACAAAATTAACTTGGGTGTCAGTGCAATTATTCCTGTTCCTTCGACCTGGGAGATAGAGCCATCAGCAATTTTAACTGAGAATTTATTTCTGCACTTACTATATTCATTGAATAGTGAGATATCTCCGATTATATGATCAAAAGCACCTGAGTAAATAATTCATATTCCTTTTTTTGTGGAATAAATTGAGAAACCAAAAAAATTAACTTTGTGAGCTGGTGAAGCATTACCGAGAACCATATTGGAAGAAAACATTTTTTGGAGGAGGTTGATTTGTTCAGAACTAAATAGGGAGCTTTCGGTAGGAACAGCTGCAGCTGATTTCTCCTCTGTTGAGACAAAATTGCCCCGATGAATTTCCTCCATTTTCTGCTTTGGTGTCTTCTTCTTCTCAGCCGATTTCTTTTCAGCTAGTTTCTCGTGAGCTTCCAGCATCTTACACGAACGTGTCCCGGTCTTTTACAGTATTCGCACCATGACTGTCCCTTCCACTTAATCACCCGACTTGTGAGGACTGCACCAGTCTCGGGTGAGAGAGATATGCTTTCAGCAAGGTTAGGGTTGAGTTGCGAGTCACCCATCATCACTTTCTTCCTGCTTTCTTCGCGTTGCCCCTCAGAGAATACCTCTCTGATGTTCGGGAGAGGTTTGGTTCCAATGATGCGTCCTCTTACTTCGTCGAGATATTTGTTCAGTCCGAAGAGGAATTTAAAGATTCGTTTCTGTTCTACGATGCTTCGGAATCTCCTGGCATCCTCTGGGTAGCTCCAAGCATGTTCTTCAAAAATGTCAAGTTGCTGCCATTTTCGAGTAAGAAAATTGTAATATTGATTTACCGTTTTTTCTCCTTGGCGTAAGTCATGAAGAATTGCTTTGATTTCGAAGATGGCAGAAGTGTTATTGCAAGTGGAGTAGAACTCACGAGCTGCGACCCAGATATCGTGCGCAGTCTCATAAAGGAAAAAATTTTCTCCAATCTCGGTGGTCATTGAGTTCACCAACCAAGACATAACAAGATTGTTCTCTACTTTTCATGTCCGAGCATTTGGATCGTTCGCGGGAGGAGGTGAGAGCTCTCCAGTAAGGTATTCATCCCGGCCTTTCCCTCAGATAAACATTAACACCGAGGATGACCATTGAAGATGGTTACTGCCATTTAGTCGATGGCCAGTAAGAGCATGGCTGTCAAGCATCGGAAGATGGGAGCCTGAAAGGACTTCGGGCGGAGAAAGATCTGCTCATCCATTGCCTATTGAATGCAAGGGGGATGCTGAAGGATTTGGATCAGGTACAGTCTAATACCATGAAGAATTTTAGAGTAAGAAATAATTCTCTTTTTCTCACATTTTTATTCATCGATGATCAGACACATTTTATAGGTAAAAGAATGAGAAAATGACAAAAACTAACAACCTTCCCTAGTTGAAGAGAAAAAAGCAGAAAATGGCAGTAAGCATTTTGTTACATTGCCAGGTTGTCAATGAAAGAAAAAATAAATAGTAAAAAAGAAAACACTGAAAGTAATTCTACACGGTCATGTTCCAGCTAACATTAGGCGAGAATCCCAATTCTGTATCTGAACCAGCACTTTGTTGTGTTTTCAACCAAGGGAATTGAATTGGGAGTAAAACATTTTGCGAACTTTTTGCTTTCAGAACCAGAATAAATTTTCTTGGGAGAAATCTTTCTTGAAGTTTCTTTAGTTTGCATTTTGTGATGCTGTATTTGGTTAATAACAATTATAGCTTTGCCTTCCTTTTTACCTGCCACCCTTTTATCCTTCTGTTCCTTTTTTCCTTCTATATTTTCATCCTTTCTGTTTGTGTTTCTCCTTGTTCCTTCCATTAATCTGTTTTCTTTTCCCCTATTTTTCTAGTATGTTTTGGGTTTATATGAATGGTTTTTGCTTATTTTCATTGTTACTCAATACCCCAAGTTCTCTGTGATCTGTTATTTATTGAAAACAGCAGCCATTATGTTTTAGTCCTGTTGAATTTTTTTTTCCAGTTTGTGTACATTATTGGACATAAAGTTTATCACTCTAACTTATTGCTTGCAGATTCAAGAACTTTTGAGGGGCATGATTGGAGGAATCATGGTTGTTCTGTTAATACAGTCCATAAATGCTTTAATTGGCTGTGTCAGTTTTTCTTGGCCTTCGAGTCTTCCTTCTTTGAATACAATGGCGTCTCTCAAAGTCTATGGACGAACGATTATGCTAACTGGTCAAGGAATCATAACGGCAACTGGTGTTGTGCTTGTTGAAGAACTACTTTTCAGGTCCTGGTTACCAGAGGAAATTGCAGCTGACCTTGGTTATCATCGGGGAATTATTATATCAGGACTTGCATTTTCTATATTTCAGAGGTATCTCAATTGTTATTTTGAAAAAAATTTTAGCATGATTTTTTCTTCTTGTTTAGCATTTTCCTTTTCCCTATTTATGAGCATATTTTGGCAGGATATGCTTTCTCTATCTCTGACTTGACACTTATTAAGTTATTCCCTTGTCCTCAGAATTTCTTAGGACTAATTGCTCTTCATAATTTAGCTCTATTGAATCATTCTCGGAGATGCACTACTAGAAGACTCAATATTTTTCTTTTGTTAAATGATTAAGCTGGATGCTATATCTTTAGATGGTGGCTTGTTTCTTTTAGAGTTCAAATTGGCTATCAATTATGGCTTATATCCGTTTTCTCCCAAAAAAGGGGCATATATCCTAACTATTTTAAAAGTCATCCCTTAGTTGTGCCTTCTGCAAAGAATGGATGTAAAGTAGGAAATAATTATCCATCTGAGCCCATCCTTTACTTAATTTAGGCTCTGACTGATGAAAAAAGTATTTATTGTTCTCTATTATGATTTCCTGAGTGTCATTGTAACCCCTTGTCGACTACCTTGGCTTCACCAGTTAATCAAGTTTCTGTGCAGTTTCTTTAACGAGCTTACTTAGTTTCTTATCTGAAACTGATCTCTTACCCAATTAACCTTACTAGTCATTATCTCTCTCTTGGATTTCAGGTCTTTGAGGGCAATCCCAGGGCTATGGCTTTTATCTTTGGCTTTGGCTGGGGCTCAGCAACGAAGCAAAGGAAGTATCTTCATTCCGATTGGGCTGCGTGCAGGTATAATGACTTCAAGCTTTGTTTTACAGACAGGTGGCTTCCTCACCTATAATCCCAATTTCCCTCTTTGGGTGACTGGAACCCACCCATTTGAACCTTTTAGCGGGATAGTTGGTCTTGCATTCTCTTTATTACTGGCAATTATCCTCTATCCAAGGCAGCCATTGGAAAGGAAAAAATTTAAGAAAGTCTGAGAATAAATTTAAAGTCATGAACAGGTATTGAAGAATGTTCAGTTCAACATTTAGCAATTGCTGAGTGGTCCTAACTCGGAAGACTTGGCCTTGTTGTAATTATAGTGTTTACTAAGTTCCTTTTTTCATCTGCAAATTACCAAAGAATGATATAGAAAGTGGAGAACGAAGAAAAGGAAGTAGAGGCCCGGTGGAGATCTGACAGCGTTTCTGCCTCTATAATGCTGGAATACTCAACAATACAGGCATCAACTCCACAGATGCAAATCTCCTATCTGTTTTGGTCTGGGAGGTTGAGGTGGGGTTTGTGCAGAAAAGAGAAGTAGGGAGAAGTATAAGAACTAAAAACGATTAAGACAGAGATACGGGTATACAGTAGTTGGTAGGTAATGAAAGCCAAAGTTGAGGCAAATTTTGTAAGAGAGTGATGTATATTAGTTTAAGGTTTCGTCCTGTTTGTCCAATGTATCAATATCATCCTGGTCCTGTAAAAATTTAGGTACTGCTCATTTTTGTCCCCATTTGTCAACGATTGATTAAATTATGTAGATCTGTATAGTGCAGCAACTTGTAAAACATTTTTGGTAATTCTAGGGTAGTGGGACTCTTGAGATTTTCTGTTCTTTTACTGGACGGATCACCTCCACTACTCACTAGCGTCCAATAGAAAGTGCATTGTTATCGGAAAGATCATTATTCCTGTTCTTGAATATGTATATATATTTCCACCTTTATTATTTTATACAGAATGAAAGGCACTTGCATTCTACTTTAATGTCATGTCTATTGGATCTGAAATCTCTTACAAGAATTTTCATATATTTTATTTGAAAGGAGTTTTAAACCTTCTTATCATTTTGGGGCAGAAAATGTGATGCTCTTGATACCTAAGGCCTATATGCTTCTTTACCCTATAGCCGAAGGGAAAATACCGTATCAATCTTTATCTACACTGAAGTCTGAAGTGCTGTTATTTCATAGAATATTCCAACTTAAGCGTAGTCATGGTGGCATACCTCAAAAGGAAGCTATCTTATTTTGCACTACCTTAACCTTAAGATTAAAAGCTTCCTTCATACCAAATTTTGTAAGAAAAATTACTTTGATTATGTTAAATTCAATTTTCTTTTTTTTTTTTTCAGATGAGATTATCGAAAATTCTATTTGGTACTACGATCCCAAAGAGGAAATTCTAAACGGTTAACATTCAGCAGTCTGGCTTATTGTCTTTTAGTTATCCACAAATTTTCAGAAAAGGTATTTGGAGTTATACCCAAAAAAAAAAACAAAAGAACAAAAGACTCATGATCTAGTGGGACATATACCACCCAACAAATTCTTCCAAGCTGCAATAAATTTTCATTTCAGAAGTAACAAATGGTCCACTTTTCTCCTTCAAATTTTAATATGCTCAGTAATAATAATGAGAAGAGTTTGTCAGAGCATATTTTCATAAGCAAGGTTCTCATTGCTGCCAATGTCCTTTTCCAAAAGACGCAGATCTCATTTGATGATCAATTACGTAATAGCTCATCTTTTCTTTTAGGTGGTCATCTGTCTAAATCTAAAGAGATTTAGTGACTACCAAATTACAGTTCATAAACCCTTTTTCCTTTTTGGCCACCATTAGTGTCTAAATTCTTGATAGTGGATTTCAATTCAGGCGGAGGGTCTCTAAAGCTCGTCCATTTTGTACATTTTTTAATCGCCAATTACAACAAATTGCCAAAAGAAAAAAACAATCATAATTATCGCAGAGAAAAGTAAGAAACTGAAAAACTAAAAACACAAACCTTTACTGGAATAGATGGGCTCAACAGCCAAATTCAAACAAAGCCGATGATGATAACATACAAAATGGAAATAAAAAGAAGAATATATATGTAAAAAGGAAAATTTAAGGCCTTTCTTGACCATTCACAATGCCAAAACAATCATATATATTAATTATTCTTCAAAACCCACAAGTTGCCTTCCTTCCAAACTTCCACTTACTCAACGGCTAAAGGAACAGATTCAGCCTGAAAACAATTAAATAAACAAGGTGTCAAAAACCAAAATACTAATGCTTTTTTCATCAGCAGAACTTTAGGCAATCAAACATACCAGCTTACGATACTTGAGGGCATAAAACATTTCCAGGTACCTACGACTCTCGCGACGATCAAGGTTAGACACATGTTTCCAGAATCCATAAACTCCGGTTAGAGTCAGTAACCTCTGAGAGTAAATTTGCCATGTGTACCTGCAAAATATCAGCAATAAGTTTAGCAATCTTGAACTTGAAACCAGCTCATGATCAGAAATGGTGTATAGAGAATTAGCAGTGTGCTTACTTCTCCTGGATTCTCTGCAGGCCTCCCTGAGAGATCTTGTCCCAGTGAGATGGATCCTCCTTGCATTTCACAAAGAAATCAACAAGGATCTCAGCAGCCTGACCACCATGGTATGGATCAATGTGGAAGCCAGATTTACCATGTACAATGATCTCAGCAGGACCACCATTGCAGGTTGCAAATGTTGGTAATCCACAGGTCATGGCCTCAACAACAGTCAAACCAAAGGCCTCATACAATGCAGGCTGCACAAAAGCTCCCTTGGTATCACAAATGTAGCGGTAGAGCTCACCATTTCTCACCCTGTTCATCTGGGAGGAGATCCATCTGAACTGCCCATTCAAATTGTATTTTTCAATCAGCTCAAACATATTCTTCATTTCAGCCTTCTCCTCATTGTCCTTGGATTCTTTTCTCCTGTCTCCACCCACTACAACTAGGTTAACCAATTCCCGTAGCTTAGCATTCTTCCCGTACCACTCAACAAGTCCAGTCAAGTTCTTCACACGATCCAGCCTTGCCATGGTGAATAGAATGGGCTTGCTGCGGTCACTTAGCACACATCTGTTCCCAAAACCAATTATTTTTAGCCAGAGGGATTCACTAACTAAAGCAAGAAAATAGATACATGAACAAAACTAAATGGTGTCCGTACAAGTGCTCTTCATTCTCTACAGCACTGTAAAGAAGCTCTTCGATCTCGGGATGGAAAGATTTCAACCTCCTACTCTCCTCAGTGTATGGGAAGTAGATGCTCATATCAGCACCGGGGGACACAATGTTGAACTTGGGGTCAAACACGTCAATCCCATGAACGACACGGTAGAGTCCAGGAAGAGTGAAAGCCGTGTGACTCTCATACTGACCAACAGTGTCCTTGCTGAAATCACAAAAAGGATAAGAAGGTTAACGTCTTAACAGACCAGAAATGGACAAGAAAAATCAATTACCACAGTAGATTGGACTACCTTCCGGCAATTTCTTGGTAAGTACTTGTAATAATAAAATCTGTGTGGTTCATGGCTATAAGATCCGCTGTGAACTGGCAAGAGAAATGGTATTTGTCCTCAAGCTTTTTCCAGTAAATATCTGAATCAGGATACTTGGTCTTCTCAAGGGCGTGAGCGATGGTACACTGCAAAGATAAAACATGGTTAGCTTGTGAAGAAAGAAATGAAAATATTGGTGAGAAGAAACAAAGAACAAACCTGAGTGACCCCCAGTTTATGAGCCAATAAAGAGGCAACAATGTTTCCATCACTGTAGTTCCCAATGATAAGGTCAGGCTTGCCCTGTAACTCTTTAGAAATTTCAGTTGCAACATCCTGGATACAAGAGTACCATCTTTAGTTTCAAAAAGGAAAATCAAATCAACTTGAGAACAATAAAAATGTATTACTGCAAAACCGAAATTCACCTCAGTGAAGGTCTCTAGGTAAGGCCAGACTTCAAATCGTGAGATCCATTGTCGAACAATTCCCTTCTCGGTTCTAAAGGGAACACGAAGAATATCTGAATACTCGGTGCCATATACTTTCTCCATACGCTGGCCACAAGTAGTCCCCACCGCATCAGGGAGCAACCGGGTAATCTGCATATGGCAAGTGATGTTGAGGTCTAATAAACAGATACTGCAACCCAACCTAATAAACAGAGGAGACTAAAAGCACTTACAATGAGGATTCGTGGAGTGATATTAAGGCCTTGCTGCTTTATACGTTGAAGCATCTCAGTTTCCAATGCACGGACTTGATCCAAGATGTAGACAACCTGGATGAGAAAGAAAAATCAGTCTGTATAAATACAGATGAACAGGAAGACAATAGATCAGGCATGGTTGTGAACTAACCTGGCCTCCAGTGTCAGGGTAACCCAAAACATTGTCCTGGGCAAAGTATCCATGGGGGGTAAGGATGACAACATTAAAAACCATGGGAATTCTGCCAAGGAACTTCTCAAGAGTGCAGGGATCAGGTGCCTCAAGAAGATCCAACAGAAGTTGAATCATTTCTAGCACACGCTCAGCTGTGTCACCCCATCCTCTCTCCAGTCCAATCTCCTGGAACTTGTGTTCTAATTCAGCATATGGTGTTTCGGGTGGCAATGTAGACAGATATTCCTCTGCCTTCCTCAGAATATGTTGAAGCGAGTTAAGGTTCTGGATCCTATCGTTCAGCATCATATTCTGCACAATCACATAACATTAGACCACAGAATTTCTGGGAATCACAAACATTACAGCACAAATACACATCAAGAAGGATTATATGTTGAGAGAGATACCTTGCCCTTGTGGCAGTGGACTCGGAGAAACTCGAGCAACGGGTGCAGACTCTCCTTATCATGGAACAATTTGGCCGAGAGATGGCGGTTGAGGAACTCAACTCCATTTCCAATCGACTTGGAAAGAGTTGGGCGAGGGAAAGATGCATTGAAGGGCTCAAAATCCAACTCAAGCACAAAGTTGCCATTCAAGCTGCATTTTTTTAGCAATGAAATCAAGATCATCAATAACCCAAGCAAAGTAAGAAAGAAGCAAAAGGAGGAGGGATGATGAATCTGGGAGTTGATCTAAGTTACCTTCCATCAACAAGCTCTTCCTTGAAGTGAAGATACTCAGACTCACGCAGCTCTTCAACAACAAGAGCATGAACATTTACTCTTATGTACTCCCATACACCAGGCCTTGGCCGCACAGCAAGGGCAACCCATGGTGGCAGAATTATTGCTTCCTGTATCATTATAACACCACCCAAATTGTTCAACAAGACAACTAAACACAAAACAAAATGCTCAAGTGATGATCCATGTTAATCTAACCTGTGAAGATCTAAGAATTTCGAACACTGCCCCCTCAGCCAACTTCTTCCTGTTGTCTTCAGGAAGAGCTTCAAACTCAGCAATAAGCTGGTGATGTTGCAGAATTCCTTTTCCCTTGCCTTCAAGTCTGCAGTACCCAGATATAACAACACAACTCAATTATATTCCTAGTTTAATACAACTCGCACAACTGATCATCTGTATCTACTTGCTTGATCTACAATACTGACTTACATGCACAAACACACACACATATATATATATATAAAACTCCGGACAAGTTACCTTGAAAGCAAGGCCAGCACTTCATTTCTTTGGGCAGCAAGTGTCTCGTCCAGGCGTTCACGTTGACTGTGAACGCGGGTGATCACACGGCCGGCCATTGATTCTCAGTTAAACTACAGCACAAGAAGAAAGTTTGAGAAAGGTGCAGAATTAAACCAAAATAATCAATTATAAAGGACGATTGGATTGGATAAACGCCATAAAGTCAATACAGCTAATTATGGTGACATCACACACACATGAAAACAACGAGGGTTAAATTTCCAAACCTGCCACCACACCAACCTATCTTTAATATATTTAATATTTAAGTATGTTGTTATCGGATTTAATACAAATTTAAAAACGACCTGCCATGGTTGAACAACTAAGATTACTGTCTTGAATACAGAAACAGATTAGATCCATTGATAGTTGCAGCAAGACCAACATTTTATATGGTAATCCACATTATCCTCAAACTAATATTAGGCATATCTGGTTGTTTACAACAAATTGCAGATTTAAACTCTTCAGGCCCATTATAAGCATAATAAATTCTCTTCTGCTTTTCCATTATCTTTCTTTATGTGATTTGAGGAAAATAAAACATAATATTTAGGGATAGCCAAATCCCTGCTTTTACGGATAAAGAAGAGAAAGTTAAACAACTAGAATAAAGCAGAGAGAGTCTTTTACCAGGAAAACAGGAAAAAAAATGTTTACTAGAATGTTCAGTGCGCAGAATTTTTTTTTTTTTTTTAAAAAAAAAGAAGAATAAGAAGAAAGAAGATGGTTTTGACTGGGAAGAGAAATAAAGATTGAATTTTTTCTATCCTCAAGCAGCAGAGTTCGCAAACCCATTCAGAAATCTAGTCAAAGAAAAGCAAAATCAGCAATGGAGGAAACACGGATCATGATTAAAATAAGGACCATTTCCAAGTTCAAAGTTGACGAAACATTATGAACTTGGAATGATAAAAAAAAACTTGAAACTATAAAATTATATATTTCAAGAAAAAAAAAAGAAGAACAAGAGAAATAGAAGTAGAAAAATAAGGAAAGCACCTAAACAGAGAGAAGCTAAGCTTTGATCAAATGAACGCAATGAGGTGATCCAAGCACTAGATGATGAGGAAATTTATAGACGGAGCCCCCAAAAAATATATATTAAAGGGATCAACTTTTTAATTGAAAAAGAGAAAAGACAAAAACCCAGGGCCACGGTTAAATCTTTGTTTGTCAGCCGAATATTCAAAGATGAGCCGGAGGCGAGAGGGCACTTTTGTAAAATCACAGATCAATTCACCAATCAAAAGCAAAATTGTATTATTACTCTACTTCTGTGCTTATAGTCCGTCATTAAAGAAAAATAAATTGCTTAAGCAAACATAAGAGAATCTGGCAACTGCCATAGTTAACACCGTAATCCTCAAGAAATCTACCAACCAAACAATACGTGAGAGAAAGAAACTTATCCAACTAAAAAGTTACCAACTTGTTCATCTGGTACAAGAAAAAATGAAGGAAGTATTGGCATTTTCTAGCTTTTTGGAGCTTTTTCGGGGATTAAAGCCCAATAAATCAGAGGGTAAGGGAGAAAATTTCATTTTGAGTTCTCTCGTTTTTGCCCCTTTTGAAAACAATTAAATCAGAGAGGACATTTGTGGACCATAGACTCAACGGTCAGATTTGCGCCCATATCAGATCATCACAACCAAGACTTTATAGGATCTTACCTGACCCAAGCCACGTACAAATACAATGTATATTAATTAATTCATTGACGTTTCCTGTGCGTATATACACACAAACACATATATGCGAAGAAAACATTCATATTATATGATTAAAAGTCAAAGAATAAAGATGATCCACAGGAATATCCTGCAGCAAAATGATGCAACAAGAAAAAAAAAAAAAAAAAACATTTGCGAAGAACTTAATGAAGAAACCCAAGTTCAGAAACCCAGCAAGAACATATGAATTTTTAAGACATGCATTGCATTTACCTTCGGGAAAGAAAAATGCGAGAGAAAGAAAGGGGAGAAGAAATTAACAGGGGAAAACGCAATGAACGCAGATGAAAGTATCGAAAGCAAGTAAAGGGTAGTGGAGAATGGTTAAGAGTGAAGAGGGGTTTTATAGTAGTGGTGATGGGGAATGGTAAAGACCGTGGTGGGTGTTTGGCTTCAAAACCAGATAGAAAAGAAAAAAAAAAAAAAATTAATATTAAATGTGCCTGTGTTTTCTGATAATCCCATAATCACCTTCCTCTGGTTTCTCTGTTCCTATCAATACCACTTTTCTTTCCCACTTGTTTTTTCAATTCATTTTCCTTTTTCATTGAGCAATACATTATTATACCTAAATTATAAAGCCACTGGTCTCCCCCGGGTTAAGCATATTGTTTCCTGTTCCTTTTCTTTTTTTTTTTTTAAGTAAAGATTACAATACATTTGTTAGATAGATATCAATCCTATACATTAATTACTTGTATCTGAGTTATGATTATTAATTTTTTGTAATCCTATTATAAAATTTACATCCTAAGCTTTTTAATTTTAATATAGAAAAAATCTAAATAATATATTTTTTAAGTGAACTTGCAATGGATTTTATTTAAGATTTAAGATTTGCCGGTTTCATTTCTCAACCACCTCATCCTGTCTCTCGCGCCCAATTTTTCTTTACTCCCAATTAAATATTTTTAGAAAAAATTATTATTTATTCTAACTTAAACTTTATTTTAATCTTAAATAATATTTTTAATTTTTAAATACAACGTCATTCTTATTTATTTTTATTATAAATTAATCTATAATTACTATTTATTTATATAAAATTAATTAGAGGAAGAAAGAAAAATGACTGTGGAATGTGGGTTAAACCTAAAGGTCAGAGCGCGCCAGTTACGGGTACGGTGGGGTCAGGCTGTCGGGTAGATACAAAATAATAGATTGCAAGGCACGTGGCAGAATTCTATTGGCCAGAGAGATGACCCCATTGACCTTACGTGACGGGGGAGGGAGTAGCCAATAAGATGGCAGGAGTATGATTCAGGGACCCACATCCAAAAGTGCGAGACAGCCAACAACAGAATTTCTATTGGTCAGGTAGGTTATAATGTTTGACGTGGCGTGGTCACCGACAAAAGTATAATTTAAGCAAATTAATTTGAATTTTGGGAATTAAAAACTAAATTAAAAAAAAAAAAAAGAAGAAGCTTATCCAATTTGATCTAATTTTTAATATATATATTTTTAAATAAATAAAAAAATGAAGGCCATTTCGTACAATCTCTAAACAGAGTACTGAAAAATCCAGTGGCTGGCTGGGTGAGTTACTGTGGTTTTGGGGTCACTGGTTTTTGAATTCCATACAAGTAATCACGTGGTATATGTCCCATTACAGATATATATATACATGTATATTATATACGGTGACGGAGTGTTAGGAGCATCACGTGGAAATTGTAGGAGAATGAACCAACTTGTCTAAATCCTTTGGATTTTATCCTTTAAAAATCATATTTTATTTTGCTTTCTTCTTAATCAATTAAATTTTTTTTTAATAAAAACTCATAAATGCTATTACCACGTACACCAATTGTAATATAATTTTATAAAATATATATATATATATATATATACAATATAATTGAAATTTACAATTTTTATATAAAGAAATTTTAAAAAAAAAAAATGGTTTTGTTAAAACTAATTAAATTAAATTAGTTTGTCCTATATACATCACACTAAATAATAAAAAAAAAAGAATAGAAATCACTCCATTAATCAATATATTGAAAAAGGAATTAATAAAATAAAATCATTTTCCATGGAATTACATACTAAACATTTTGACAACTAAGAGGAAAGGGACAATGTTTGCAAACAAAAATAATTGCATGAGTGTGATGGTACCCAAGATACTTATTGTGTAGGTTCAAATTTTAAGTTATTGCTCATTTAATTCTATAACTAGAACCCAAAAACTCCCTTCATCTTAATTCTAGAACCCATAATCTTCCTACTCAAATTAATGCCGTCATTATTACATATTAAAATTTTATTATTTGTATTTATAACAATTACATATAATTAACAAAAAAGATTGTGAAATATATATATATATATATAGAAGAGACGAACCAAACAATAAATTTGGTAAACCCAAGTGTAGTGCAATATTTGACTCGGTATCATCTAAAAACCGTAGTATACATTTTATATATTGTAGAAATCTAATGGGATGTCGACTGTGTGTCCTCTGTAAATTAAATCAATGAAATTCCTTTTTATTTTGCATCTTGTCAATCTAATTGTGTTGATATGTGACTCATATGTGAATATAATTGTATTTTAATCCTTTTATCCTTTAATCAGAATATTAAATTCATCGTTATAATATTTTAAAATATTCAAATTAATATCATTAGTGAAAGTGTAACGATCTGCTTTCTCCGTTGAGAAATGAACGCTGCTCCACACTTATAGTCTTAATACATTTATGCAACAATAAACAAAAACTTAATATTCAATCATCCATATACGGAATTACAAGATATGAACCTTGTTATAATATAATTAAATTGACTTTAGAAGATGAACTCTTACTGTTACTAAATATTCTTCAAAGTCTTCCTTCAACATTGAACTTACTGTTGATCTAAA